CCACAATATTTTAACTTTGAATTCAAAAATGTTGAAAAACCATATGAAAGTTACCATGGAATAAATGTCAAGCTGAGGTAATAATTATATAATTATTCCATATAACTTTGAACTAAGATTTTGATCTGTTCTAATATATGTTTTAGATATTTCGTACGCGTAACCATTTCAAGGCGTTTAACAGATATTGTGAACGAGAAAGACATATGGGTATATTCGTATCGTATGCCATCAGATAGTAATAGTTCTATTAAGATGGAAGTGGGCATTGAAGACTGCTTACATATTGAATTTGAGTATAACAAATCAAGGTATTATTATTGTATATTTTAGACATATGATATTTTATCATTTTGTTAATAATTTATTTAATTTATACAGATACCATCTTAAAGACGTCATTGTAGGAAAGATTTACTTCCTACTTGTTCGTATAAAAATTAGACATATGGAGCTGTCTATTATTCGCCGTGAAACAACCGGAGCAGGTAATTATTCTTAATAAAATAATTTTCTATTGTAGACTACGTATTGTATGTGAATTTCTTTATTTATTTGAATTATTTAGCGCCAAATCAATATAATGAAAGTGAGACGATTACCAAATTTGAGATTATGGATGGTGCGCCAGTACGCGGTGAGTTAATGTATGGCATAGCTCTTGGTGCATAACGAACAACTAATAATTTGGGTCTATATTTGTTGATCAGGTGAGACGATTCCTATTCGCCTGTTTCTCGGTGGATTTGAGTTAACACCAACCTTTCGCGATGTAAACAAAAAATTCTCTACACGTTATTACCTTAATCTTGTGCTCGTTGATGAGGAAAACCGGAGATACTTCAAACAACAAGAAATTACCATTTATAGAAGAAGAGGTAATTTCACGAGCTGATATCTTTTTTTTCATTCATTACTAAACTTAACACTTTTTTATGTTTATAGTTGATGATGGCCTTCCAGCAGAAGATTAATAAAATTAAAGTCTGTCTGAAAATTTACGATGATTTTGATTAATTATTTTTAGGATATTTGTAGAAATTAATTATCTTGTAATTTTTGTATTGTGTATATGTATTAGTTATTAGTATTTATCTTCGATTATATAGTAGAGTAAATAAATTAGTTGATACGTAATCGTAAGGTAATTAAGCAAATTGATGGACAATTGCACATTGGATTGCTTCTTAATTTATTGCTGATGCCATTGCAGTGCAGGTTTCATGAGCGGCCCTTAGTGCATTATCATCGCCGTTTTTCCTTTTAAATTCGACGAGACCTACTATACTATAAATCGCAATGACCCTGTTACACATCTTTTTTGTAAAATTGTACAACCCTCACTAAAAAATTGGTTCATGACATAATAATAAATATAATATAAAAACATAAGAATTTAGTTTGACCTTTTGGTCTGAGTTTTTTCTTGAATAATGGACAGCCTTTCTTTTGAAGAAGTGAAGTATGTCTTTAACCTCCTTTCTTCTAATTTTCAGGAGTATGGCTAAGTAAATAAAATCGGATTGCAACATCATCTAGAGTCAAGTGGGACGTTATTTTTAAGGACCCTTTACTTTCCCTAAGCTCTTTACGTGAGAAAGGATATAATGGAAATATTTGTTCTCAGGGTTTAAGATCTATTTGCTGGAAAGTGGGTTTTTCTTCCTTTTTTTGAGTAAATTTTTTTGCCTTTTGCAATAGAATTAAATAATATCCCTGACAATCTATATATATAGCTATATTTGGCTTACTTGCCAAGTTTAGACACCGCAACTTGGTCTCTTACTCTTAATAAAGAACGACAGCATTATGCGGATCTTCGCCAAAAGTATATTACAAGTCCAGCTACTGATAACGAAAGTGATAGTAACGCGACTGATTTAAGCATTAATAATCCATTGTCTTTGGACCAAGCTGTATGTGATCGAATCAAATATTTTTATTGAATGGAAGCGAAATGTTAATTTGTCGAACGATTATCTTTTAGAACCCTTGGCAAGAGTATTTCAAAGATACGGAGTTACGAAAAATCATTAAGCAGGATGTGGAAAGAACGTAAGGTGTCATGCTATAATATATATATATTATACTTGTGGGTGTACCTATTTGTAACAGTTAAATTTTTATAGATTTCCAGAAAATGAATATTTTCGTTCCACATCTGCTCAAAATCGACTACTCGATATTCTTTTCATTTATTGTAAAATGAATACCGATGTGTCATATCGTCAAGGAATGCACGAACTTTTGGCTCCAATATTATGGGTTGTTGATAATGAAAGTTTGTCCAGTACAAATGGATACACAATGGTGAATGTTGAAGACGCTACAATTAGACAAGCATTGAGTGCAGATTATGTAGAACATGATACTTTTGCACTCTTTTCCTCGTTAATGAAATCTGCTAAAGTTTATTACGAATATAATGATGAAGTGTTCAATCGTAGACCTGTTAAGGTGTGTGCACAGCTCTTATATTGAATATTTTCATGCATAATTTCATAAGAGTGTTGAAATTTGTTGAAATTTGTAGCGCGCGGGTCAAAGCTCAGATGTTAATTATGCTCGTTTAATAAAAGAAGTACAAGCGGAGGTACATTAATATAATATCATTTATTATCGCATATTACCTATTTGTACATAATAGTTAATATTTATCATATAACCCATTTATTGAAATTTATAAAAGGCTGCAAAATTAACACCCGTGGTCATGAAATGTAATAAAATTCACGATGAGTATCTCAGAACAATTGACCTTGAATTATATAATCATTTGAAAGATTTGGAAATTGAACCTCAACTTTATGGAATGTATGTCTTTTTTTTTTTTTTTTTTTATATTATAAATTTTTTGTATATATTGTCACTGACCCTTTTTCAAGGCAAGTAAGCTTTCAAAAGGTATCCAGATATCGCAACCATCATGTCATCTTAATTTGCCTTTCATGTTTACAAATTCCTTTTGATAAAATGGGTTACAGTGACTGACCACACGCGCTTAATTAAATGCTACAATTTGATTAACAATTATTTTACATTACAGACGTTGGATAAGACTTCTCTTTGGACGCGAGTTTCCTTTAAATCAGGTTTTAATATTATGGGATGGAATGTTTGCAGAAGATCCGACACTAAGAGTTGTCGACTTCGTATGTGTGGCACTTATGCTACGTATTCGTGACGAGTGTAAGTATATAAATAATGACATTTTATTAATATTTGATACAGATATTCCTATCTCATTCCTATCATTATTCTACCAGTACTTGAATCAGATTATGCAGGGTGTTTAAGCATGTTAATGCGCTTTCCTTCAATAAATGATGTTGAAGTGCTCGTCCCGCAAGCGATATATCTTCGTGATCATTTATCATCTGAAGGTGGTAATTATATAATTCAACAAAATGCAATCAGGTTACGAAAACCTACAATTCCGATTCAGATTCCTGTCCAACGAGAACGAGAACCCAATCATATTGAAGGTTTGGTACCTGATGGATTTGTTCATGTGACTAAAAATAGCGCCGTGATACTCAATAAAGCTATTTTGTCGGCGGTAGGAGAAGTAAAAGTAAGTTATTCTTTTTTTTTGTATTTGCAGAATGAGGTATCAGATTATCTGAATCCGTATAAAAATTTTTTTTTGTAGAAAAATGTTCTTCGTCGCCCTGATGGTCAATATGATCATAAAAAGCGTCAAAGTACGTCTGATTTTCCGCAAAGATATGCACATTCTTATCAACATACAGTACATGAAACAGAATCTCATCAAAATTCAGAAGATATTTTAAAACTTAAGGAACAAAATCGACAAATGGGAATCGTAGTGCAAAGAAGTATTAATATTCTTGAACAAGAAATATTGGTAAAAACAAAGTCTAAGGAAGAAGTTAATGCGGTGGATGCTGATAAGATTGAAAAGAATTCAGATGGAACGACATCTCGCTCTTCATTTGAATATATCGCGGGTAACAACAACGAAGAACCTAACATACCAACTTCAAATGAGATTTCGATTCTTAATGTTTTACACGGACTTAAGCACGTTAGGGATGTACTTAATGGGTCGGTTAAAGAATTCAATCCCCACATTCTAGAATTAACAAATAACAATGCAGAAGATCATGATCATTGGGAAGTCGTTGATGATGGTGTCAGTGTGGTGAGCATGGCCGGGACGGAAGATGAAACTGCATCTGTAACTAAAGAGGTTCAAACAAAGCAAGAAAAGATTGTACCCACTGTAAACGCATCCAAAGCACCAATTTCAGAATCTACTCCTAAGAAAGATGTTGAAACACCTCAATCATCATCACCACCATTTTCTTCATTTTCATCACCGCTCACAGACGAAACATCGTCACAATCTACATCATTACAACAATCAAATCCGTTAGCTGATCAAATTAAAATATCTGATTCAGTTGACGAAAAACCGAATTTAATATCAACCACGCAGTCTCGATCATCACCCAGAGGAGTAAAACCAACATCAATTTCATTACCTAAATCAAAGGTTAAATTGAATCATGCGGATAAGCGTAGTGTTGGTACACCAAAATCATCCATTGCATCTAATTCAAAATATAGTTGGATTGTTGAAGGTTGCACAGAAGATGACGATAATTCACTATTTAACCCAAAAAGATCTAGTAACGTAGGTATTAGTGGATTATCCAGCTATTCTTCCGAACGTATGAATTATGGATACCTGGATAGATCAATAGAGGACGAGGACCAATTTAAGAAATCAAACTTAACACAAAGGCGTTCAAAAAATACTGAACGTAATAGAAGTGAAAGCATAGGATCAGTATCTTCAACGAATAATTTGAAAAAAGCTAATAACAATGTAACACCTGAGATTCCCGTTGAAGATCCTTTAGGTGTTTTATAATGTTAAAAAATTGTCGATTTGTAGAGTTATATGGTATTTTTTTTTTTTATAACTATATAATGTTATCATAGTATTATACTCTGTATTTATATTTATATACCAATTAAAATTCTAATAATATTATTTTTATTACACTCGATAATCATCAGAGGACAAATGTTTTCAATTTCAAATTATTAAAGATTAGTTTAATTAAGATATGCATGTGAATCAGAAATCTTTTATAGTTATTCGGAATCTCAAACAATTTTAATCATTACCAAATATTGGTAAAAACAAAGTCTAAGGAAGAAGTTAATGCGGTGGATGCTGATAAGATTGAAAAGAATTCAGATGGAACGACATCTCGCTCTTCATTTGAATATATCGCGGGTAACAACAACGAAGAACCTAACATACCAACTTCAAATGAGATTTCGATTCTTAATGTTTTACACGGACTTAAGCACGTTAGGGATGTACTTAATGGGTCGGTTAAAGAATTCAATCCCCACATTCTAGAATTAACAAATAACAATGCAGAAGATCATGATCATTGGGAAGTCGTTGATGATGGTGTCAGTGTGGTGAGCATGGCCGGGACGGAAGATGAAACTGCATCTGTAACTAAAGAGGTTCAAACAAAGCAAGAAAAGATTGTACCCACTGTAAACGCATCCAAAGCACCAATTTCAGAATCTACTCCTAAGAAAGATGTTGAAACACCTCAATCATCATCACCACCATTTTCTTCATTTTCATCACCGCTCACAGACGAAACATCGTCACAATCTACATCATTACAACAATCAAATCCGTTAGCTGATCAAATTAAAATATCTGATTCAGTTGACGAAAAACCGAATTTAATATCAACCACGCAGTCTCGATCATCACCCAGAGGAGTAAAACCAACATCAATTTCATTACCTAAATCAAAGGTTAAATTGAATCATGCGGATAAGCGTAGTGTTGGTACACCAAAATCATCCATTGCATCTAATTCAAAATATAGTTGGATTGTTGAAGGTTGCACAGAAGATGACGATAATTCACTATTTAACCCAAAAAGATCTAGTAACGTAGGTATTAGTGGATTATCCAGCTATTCTTCCGAACGTATGAATTATGGATACCTGGATAGATCAATAGAGGACGAGGACCAATTTAAGAAATCAAACTTAACACAAAGGCGTTCAAAAAATACTGAACGTAATAGAAGTGAAAGCATAGGATCAGTATCTTCAACGAATAATTTGAAAAAAGCTAATAACAATGTAACACCTGAGATTCCCGTTGAAGATCCTTTAGGTGTTTTATAATGTTAAAAAATTGTCGATTTGTAGAGTTATATGGTATTTTTTTTTTTTATAACTATATAATGTTATCATAGTATTATACTCTGTATTTATATTTATATACCAATTAAAATTCTAATAATATTATTTTTATTACACTCGATAATCATCAGAGGACAAATGTTTTCAATTTCAAATTATTAAAGATTAGTTTAATTAAGATATGCATGTGAATCAGAAATCTTTTATAGTTATTCGGAATCTCAAACAATTTTAATCATTACCAAATACTGAATTATATATTGGAATAAATAAAAAAATAAAGTCAAGAATGTGTAACTATGATGAATCATGAAATAGTGCAGCAACTATTCGTCTAAAAAAAAAAAATAAAAATAAAAAAAATTAATATTGTTTTTACCAAATGATTATAGCAAAACAATATACAAACCTTCTTCGCTTGTTTATAAAATGCTTTTGATTGAAATGAAATTTCTTGAGATCTATCAATAAGGTCATCCAACTTTTCACCACGTTGCAAGAGGCTTTCAATTGTCTTGTTCTAAAATGGGCAAAAAATTTAAAACCTTTCTAAAATTATACGTAACTTTGAAAAATATCGACGCACCATAACTAATTTGGTTTCATCTAATTGTTCCTGAACTTTTATAATTTGATCAGCCTCTTTTGGGTCTTGATATTTTATCAAGTAAGTTTTAAGTTCGGGATAAGAAATTGTTTGTGATTTCCACGTAGTTCGATCAAATTTTGTAAGAAATTCGTCGAGAACTCTACTCAACAAAGAAAAAGCTACTCGTTGCGGATACTCGTTATCACAAATAATGATTCCAGTAAGGCCTTCGGTTCTTGCGTGAGAATAAAATACGTAATCTAACAAGAAAAAGTTAACTTTGAAATTATAAACCCATTTAAATTAGATATAAAAAGTTATACGTACTGTTCTCTTCAACGCTCAACCTTTGTCCTGGATTTGTTCTTTCTGCAACGGTTTTTGAAAAAAACTTCATAAACTCTTGAACACTACATAATAATCAGATGAGTTAAGTTGATGTCACTTTTATAAAAAGAAAAAATATATATATATAGATATTGTAAAACTATCAACCTTCCACGTTGAAAAAATCCAAAACCAGAGAGATCATATTCTCCTGCCAAATTTACTGCCTCTTCTTCTTTAGAAAATACAGTAGTAGAGTATATTTTCATATTTAGCTTTAAAAGTTTTCAATATGTAAAAGTGACGAAAGAAATTTTTATTTATTGGTAAAGATAATGTGTCGCAGCATATCGGATTATTTTTGGTTAAACTATGATGAAAATCTTTTTTTGGATATTAAAGAAATGTTGGGTATTAGATCATAACGCATGATCTATTGATCAGAATCGAGCAATTTTAGTACTCTCGTCAAGACGAATCGAATGGCACCAAATTGTCCGATTCTGATCACTAGATCACGAGATATTGTTAATTAAAAATAAAAATAAAAAAGGATAAATTATGCGCAGCTACCAATTATGGTGCACACACTATATTTCGTGATCTATTGGTCAAAATCAACCGATTTTGGTATTATTTGATTCATCTCAATGAGAGGATCGAATGGTACTAAAATTGTTCGATTCTGATTATTAGGGCACAATATATAATTAAATTTTCAAACTAAAAAAAATAACTTTAAAATGCTATAGTGCAGGAATCCTTAAACCAACAACTTTTTTTAAAGGTGGCCAAATTTAAGAACAAATACTAAATTTTGATTGGCTAATATCCTAAAATTTTGTTATGTTTTTTTTAAATTTTATTATATTTTTAAAATTTTGTTATATTTTTATATATGTGCAGTCAAATTTTGGTTTTGTTAATAACTTTAAAAGAAAATAACATTATAAAATTTTGCTATATTAAAAAATAAACTCT